GGGGGGGGGGGGGGGGGGCACCAGCGAAGGGGGAATGTCTCAAATTTATTTTAGATTTATGTCCCGCGCAACTCTGAAATATCATGTGAGTATTTTGAAGAGCAAATCTCTCGTGAATCTTTGACGAAAAGCGCTCCGTGAATTTAAAATTAAGCCGGGCCTGCTCTGGAGAGAAATTAAGTCTCTTTCCTGAACGTGCTCGTCAAGTATGAAAACCCGTATAAATTCCGTAAAATATGTTAACGTCGTCCCGTTGTTCGCGCGTACCCGCCACTCCATCGCACCACTTCCCCGGGACGTGAGAAATAGTTTCGATAAAATTCTGAAACGAAATCCCGAGACGAAATCCCGGCCGGGCGTGCTCGGGTGAAATTTTTTCGCGAACAGAACTTGGTCGCGAGATTGGAACATATACACATCTATACACATTTGTGTAATATTATAAAATAATACCCTCGGAACCGATACCCCACAGTGTCATTTCCATTCATCAGCTCACGTATTTCGTGCGGAGCATTCTTGCCGCTGCCGGAGAGAGACACGGGGATAGGTAGTTTTCAGCAGTCGTGACTACAGAAACTGCGTGAGACACGAACCGGTCCGATCTTTTCGTGGTTCTTGTCAACGTTTGCTCACTCACGTGGCTCTTAATCCCTAAGAACGGTCGCACCGCCGACCTGTCCGTGTAATCTCTTTTTCGCTTTCTCAATGGAGCGCCTATTATGTTCTCGTCGACGAGTGCGTATGAGTATAGTTTTTTGTGTATTCTGGAAGAAGACAGAACTACCGATAAATCGCATGCTACAGTTGAATACTACTTATGCAATCGTGTCAATCTTCTTCTAGCTAGAAGAGTCCTAAAGCGATATCCCGATTGGTTCTTTAGCTCAGGTTTACGTCTTACGTCTACAGTTACGGCAGTCCATGTGCCCTGAGGACTGCATTTCGAGGATCCCGTTCTTCGGCGTGCGAACGTAGGGACTGACAGTCGCACGCGCTGATGTCGTTTTACGGCTGGCGAATGCGCCCGGGTAATCTCGTCGCGCTGGAATACATTTAATTGTGTATTAAAGTGCCAAACGGTCTAGACGGGACATTTTAGCGTCGCGACTTTATCGCGCGGGTCCTCGTGTAATGAGGATCTTTCCCTCTCTCGTTCCAGTCTCACTCGGTCGCCTGCTCGCTGCTATCATATTGTTTAAGCATGCTGCGAGCGAGATCGACTCGTCAGGCCGGTTAATTTGCCCGCGCGGATCATAATCTCGTCGAACGTTATAAAGTTGAAGAGCGTATCCGAATAACAGTCCATTAGCGGGGCGCGGAATTTTTGTTGCCCCAACAATTTTTTATTCTCACCTCTCGCTTGTTTTCCTCCTTCGTTTCGATTCTGGAGAGCTACTGTGTCTTCTGTGTCCTTTATTTCGAGCCTTCAAAGCTTTATTATAAAGAGTGAAAGCGCGCTATAAAAGTCCCGCGGTTGCCAACGGGTTATTATTGTCGGCCGAAATTTATGAACAGCGGTCGATCTCGGGCGAGAGTTCCTCGGGATATGAACGGTTTCGGCGACTTTCGGTCGCCGGTTAGGAGAGCGTTCAATTTAAACGGGTAATAATGTTCACGCGGTGGCGACGCGACATCGTAGTCGTCGCCGGAGTGTGCCGTCCCTGTCTCCTTCTCTCTCGCTAAGCGAACCAGAAATAGTCGCTGTTTTGTCTCCCGATCGGAGAGCAACCGTCTCTCTCCTCTCCTCCCCTCTCGTCCTCGTCTATTTCCGACTGTCTCTCTCTTTCTCTGTCTCCTCCAGCCTCCTGCCGCCGTCTTTCCGACTCGTAGGAGTGCACGAAATAAAACGTCCCCGCGAATGCAGATACGCGAGGATAAACCACCTCGGGGAGGATCGAGCGAGCTCGTAGAAGTGGCTCTCTCACGTCGCGATTCTCACGTGCGCTCGCTTTCATCTCGCCGAGATGAAAAGCCGGCTGATTGATGGAATCGCGATTCCACCGGCGAACGCGACGCGAGTCACCTCCTGCTCACTTTTCGCCGACGACGGACGATTTCCAGGTCGTCGCGACAGCGCTTGTATCGAAGTATCGAATAAATCATTATCGGCGTGACGAAAAGTGCGCAAATTTTGGGCGTGAGATCGAACAGATTGATGACAATAAGTGATTGAAGAACAAAAAAAGATCAACATCATTCAGCATTATTCTCGCGGATTAGCGCCTCTCCCAGCGATTATATCACACGATCGCGTGTCGGTTACAAAATACCCATTCATCGCGCGTCTCTCGATTTATCCGAGCGACGATCTCGACGGAGAGGCGTCCTGATCGGCGTGCCGCTCATAGAGACACGGAGAATTACCGGATAAAATATTTCCACAGAGTGATTGTTTCACGGAGGAGCGCGTACCGAGCCCGATCATCGCGACCGTTCCGCACTAGGTGGATAGAGAGAAAAAGAAAGAGAAAGAGAGAGAGACTTATCGGGCGTGTTTAGAGAATGCATGAAATACCATTGGAAGTTATTACGGTCGTTGTCGTGAAATATCACCGCCGCGGCACGCAATAAGAAATCCGCGATACGGTAGCGGCGACGTGAATAGCCCCAAGTGCAAGAATCCTTTCTCTCGCGCGCGGCCGCCTGCACCTGATTGCATAAACGCCGTAACCGGCGAGTGTGTAAGTGTGTGCATGTTACCGGCCACTGTCGCGCAACGTCCTGAAATGCACTGACCTTCTATTGTTCCCCGGACAAATCGCTGTTCGCGGTGCTTACAGTGGCCGTACCTCTCCTGCACCGATTCGCGTCGACCAGGAGGCGAGGGAAGAGCTTGTCTCGAAGAACCGTCGCGAATCTCGTCGCGAGAAAGGGAGAGACAGACAGAGAGATAGAGAAAGAGAGGGAGAAAGAAAGCAGCGATTACATCGCTGCATCTTGACCTTTTTCTCCCGGCCCTTGCAAATGTCATTAAACCGGAGATCGTGACGATCCGCGGGCAATAGACCCCGAGGCGGACGATACTCTTTAAATCGATCGAGATCGAAAGCGGAGGAGGCGTCGCTTTCACACGGAAGGAAACGCTTGAAAGAACGGGTCGACGGATGAAAGTATCGCGGAAGGATAAGAGGGAATTAAAAAACCGTGCGGTTACGAGAAAATTAGTTCAAAGTTCCGCGCTCTTCGCATAGAGTGCTACATCGAGAGGAAGATAAAGAGAGAATATTTATTCGTTGGGCACTGACAGCTTATTCATTCGAATCTAAACTCTTTCGCTTGAACGGAATAAACAATTGTCTTTGTGAAAAGTTAAGGTTTTAAAGAAACGTACACAGGGAAAAACGATATGGTTTGCCACACGAAAGTCTGGCTCTGCCAATCAGATTCGATATCAGAATCCGGTTGGCAGAACCAGATTTACGTGTATATTTTATATTGTATAAATAATGTGTCGTATTTTGTACCCCATCGAGTAAATATTTAGTATTTTGTCTCTTGGATATTTTTTATTTCTCAGTGTGTGAGATATTCGGATGATACTGATTTTTTTTACGCAGCTGGTCGATAGCGTGGACCTGTGGTAGCTATTTAACCAAGTGTCCAAAAGTTTTAATTACACCGAGAGAATATTGTAACAAAAATTACAGTACAATTTTAGTACTCCGAGAATAGATTAGCAGTATGATGAAAATTATAATGAGACATAGTAAAGGTGACCATCAATATAATGAAAATTACCATAAATGTAATAAAAATTATCATGTTTATGATCTCACGTTTATTATATTTTATTACTACTACTAAAATTGTATCGCAATTTTTACTACAATATTCTCTCCGTGCACTTTTACACAATGTTCCGTGCAATTTGGTACAAGGAAAAGGAACAACGATCTCTTCTGTCCTTCAAAACCGCGTTACTCGTTAAACTGTATTTTTAACGGAGACACATGGTTCATTTACTAATGACACCATTTTGGGGACAGTTTTAAGCTTTGTTTCATGGTCGTTTTCATGTGAAGGATTGCATCAGCGCGCGCGCGCGCGCGAAAATGCGCGTAGATAATGGGCTGCGCGAAATTAGCATAAAGCCACGTACGTCGGTGGTGCAACGAGATACCGCGGCCGGCAATGAGGGAAAGAGGCGGCCGATTACAAAGTAAGACACTTGCAGATTGCAGTTAGCGTTACCGCGGTTAAGCGCATTATACGCCTGCAGCGGCTCGTAACGCGCTTTCTCTCTTCCTGGTGTTCTCCCACACGCTTCCCTCAAGTCCGTCCGTCCGTCCGTGCGCGTTCGTTCGACGTTGCCTCGCTCGTGCTTTTACGAATCCCCGGAGATAGGTACCCGGAGAAAAACGGACACTAGCGATGCGAAAGGCACGGTACCTCGTGTTTATCTTGTTATTCCTGAGAGAGAGGCGTCAGTTTGCGTTCTCGACTTTTGTCGTCGTCGTCCTACGGCTAATGAGAAACCATTAAACGACTACGTCGTACGTCATGATTATTTTTCCAAAATTTGCTTCGTCACGCCTGACTCATCGGGCATGACGCCGGCAGGTTTATCATGCCACCTTATCCGTAAAAGTCAATTTTAACGTTGAATTTGATGTTCACTTAGGTCGGCTCGTTCATCATGTTCGGTTCGGGGTGTCTCTCAGGTAGTCTCCGAAGTTAAAAGTACAGTTATCTCGTTGCGGGAAGATTTCGGAGTAAATGTCCCTTGACCGTCGCTGTCCCTTCGCCGTACGACGTTTTTGTAAAAAGATAGCGAGGTATCATAACCTTTATCAGAAAAAAAGAAGAAAAGAACAGCCTTTATCGAAAAAAAAGAAGACCTGACCTTATCTTATCTGACCTTATCTTACCTGACCGTATCTGCTATCGTGGGCAGGAAGACCACCACATTCCGTGATCATTGTTCGTCGTGCATTTCACGAATGCGCTCGCTCGCTCGTTTCGCTCCGATCTGTCACGTAAGAAACACCGTATCTCACGCCATTTTTACGGGAAAACCGAGCTCGGACGAATGCGTATCTCGTGCGGCTTGCGTGAAACAATGTGATACAAATGCGTGGCGACGATTCGTCGCCAAACCGTATCCCGGCCGGCTACTGTTTTGTCGTGGTCGTCTTAACCTGTCTCAGCTGGAAATCGGTCAACGTCCATATCTTCCTCTCTATCTCTCTCCCTTTTCTTCTCTTCGTCGAGGCGGCGTCGTCTATTGTGCCGAAGCGTGCTCACGCGCGTTTCTTTCAATCAGAACCGCAATTTTACGGTCACGTAAATCTCATATTAAGATGCGTCACCTGCGCGTCATTGTGAGATCATTATATTAGCAGTATGGGACGTGTCCCGTCATAATCCGATTACGAGGCGGCCGGCGACTGCATGTGTTTTGACCCCTTGCCGGATGTGAAATGGTCGCTTCCGGCTCATTTGCGCTGTAATCGCGGCCTTTGTTTTCGACAGGTACCGAACTCGAAACTGACGCGACGGCCTTGCCAGGGGAGGCCGAAAGCTTATCGACCTGTGACGTCCGTCGAGTATTGACAACCGTTGTTGTTGTAATCGCAGAGAGCCGAGCACAACGTCGCGTTATTTATTTTTTTATTTTTTTTTTTCGTTCTTTTTCAAGTCACGTAAATTCGGTATCGTTTAGTGTCAAACGCACGCGCGCGGTTCTTGCCCGAGAGAGTAATATTTCGCGCGTTTTAGTCAAATTTATATTTCAACGATCGCGCGTGCGAGTGAAAACACATCGCCCTCTCCCGCGATGTGCTTTGTCCCGAAAAATGAATTCGCCGTCTTTCAACCTCGTGGCGAATCTGAAAATCCCGTCCAGCCCGTTGTTTTTCACCCAACGTTTTTCCGACAATCGAGGCCGTGATACGTGCCTCGCTCGGCGCGACAAAGTGACGATTGAGGATCTCTCCCTCGGTCCTGCGAGGATCCCGATGAAAGGGGGAGAGAGGAGGATGCGAATTAGAGGGAGGGAGATAAGGACGGGGAACAGGTAGAAAAGTGCTGACTGCCTGCAGTGATGGAGGAGAAGCCGGAGGAGGACGAGGGACGGCGGAGGGCGAAGGGAGACGGGGACGAAAGAGTGGCTGAAAAGACACCGGCGCTGAGAGCGGAGAGGCACAGAGAGCGAGCCGGGGCTTTATAGTCGAGGCGAACCGGTTTTCCGTATCTCCGATGACTCATCCTTCGCGACGACGCAGCGTCAAGTGCATTTCCTGGCCTGGCCTGGCGCATCCCAACCTAAACTCTCTCTTCCCCTCCCTCTCGCGCGCCACCAAGCGTCTGTCACTCTTCGCCGTGCTCGTGTTCCTTCTCCTCGCTCCAACCTCGTCGGCCTCCCCTCTCCTCTCCTCTCTTCTTCCCGGTCTCGCTCATTTTCTCCGCTCTCTTCTCCGGCGGCGACCGACGAGGAGCAGCGCGCGTCTCAGTGGTGCTCATGACGGAGAGAAACATCGTAAAGTCGGGATACACGCTCGATGTCGCGGTAAGTCACCTCGCGCGATGTAACGGGACGAACACGAAAGAGGCTCGGGAAAGACAAGAAAAACGCGGAAGGGGAGAGGTCCGTGAAGAGAGAGACGCGTTCTCGTGGCTATTATTATTTTATCGACACTGCGACGCTCCATCTCGCTGTCTCTCCTTCTTCCTCCTTCTCCTGCCATGCCAAGAGAAAGAGGGGAGAGTCGCTGTTCTCCTTAGAATATTTTTCCCCCTTTTTTTCTTTCCTTTCTTCCCCTTTTTTTCTCTCCTTTTCCTTCCCTCTTTTTTTTCATGAACACCGGATACCTCGCGCACACAGCGGCAATAACGCCGAGTTACGCGGAGAATTCGCGCGAAACGGCCTTTTACATCGGAAACGGTAATTTATGCCGCGCTAACGTTCTCGCAAAGTTCAAAGTGCAGCTCTCCACGTAGCGTGTGCGGCGTGTGCTGCGAGCGGCGCGGGCGCGCGGAAAAAGCAGGCATTAGCTACCGGCGAACGGTACTTTGACTCGCGGTGCATCGCGGTGCATTAATTAACGCTCGGCATATTGGACTTAACCTGGTTAGCTGACACCGGTATAATTAAAGCGCAATAGTCACACACACGCACAGGACGACGCGACCGCGAAAGTATCACTTACGAGCGCGAGCGTTTTGCTCGTGTTTACGATTTGCACGCGCGCCGTTGGCTGCATCTCGTTTGTTATAAAACTATTCTCTCATAGTTAGAAGTGGAATGAGAAGCAGAGGAAGCGACGATATCTTATCGTCGACGAGAAATCTCGGGTGCACCGACAGAAAAAATACCTACAAAATGTAGAATATTCGATGGGTATTGACAACATATTTACTTCAATCTATAAAATTCCCTTATTCAAGCAGAAGAAACGATTGCTTTCGTGAAAAGCCAAGATCTCGAGAAGGTTTTTTCACTTGAGAAATTGTTTCGCGCAGTATAAAATTACGCGGTTTTGATGTAAGTAAAAATATGTCTTTAGCACATTTACACTAAATATTATTTTATTTGCTAAATATCTTTGGGTATGCTCAGTATTCCAAAACAATTCCTTGTGGTGGGATATCTGAATTTATAATCGCAAGAGCGACTCCGATACGTTGAAACACCGAGGATTCGTCCGCGGTATTCGCGATCAGAATAGAGGAAATGGATCAGAATGGACGTTTTTGGGGCATCCCGCGATGTGAATAATTCGCGGCACCGATCGCGGACGACACGGGTGTTGTTTGCGAACGCGAATTCATTCCCCGGCACAGCTCGTCGACTCTAAATAAAAAGCGAACCGTCGTGGATCATTTGCTGCAGGATGAAGGAGCTGCCGGAGGAGGAAGCTTCCTCCGTGCGCGCGAAAGGTTAGGTGAAACACTCTGGCAGTTTGATTTATGGCCGACGTACCGAGTTATCGCTTTGCCAATAGTGGAAATCGAGGAGAAGAGCGGCGCGCTGCGAAGTCGGGGACGGAAGAAAAAGGGTGTAGTCGGAGATGAATCGATGAACGCGCGCGCGGCGCTCTCCTTACTTCCCGCTTCTTTTTTCGCGATTGCTGGTCGATCATTATCCTTCCGGTTCTTTTACCGCTTCAAACACCGTGGGGAGAAAAACATAGGTATTTGCGGTACCTTCTTTCTCGCTGAGTCGATCGGACACGCTTATTTGAATCGATGGAATTCCCGAGAGGAAGCTTCCCCATCTCTCTACAACGATTAATGAAAACAGATATGCGTCTGATGAAATATATTCAAAATAAATAGTCTCTCTCTCTTTCTTTTTTTTTTCAAATGGTTACTTACTTAATGGTTATTACTGTTTTCTTCATGTTGAGGCTTGAAGGGAGACTTGTTCGATAATTATATAATATTTGAGAGAAATGAAAAGATAGATATATAGATAGAGATAGATATTTTCACAATACTCTCTCTCTCTCTCTCTCTCTCTCTCTCTCTCTCTCTCTCTCTCTCTGCATTTAATACACATTCTTCATTTCAATGAGCAATACATTGACTTACTCAACTGCAGTAGGGTGTATAGGACAAGCGAAAATAATTGATATGGATAGATAATGGGATTAATGGGTAATCAAAAGTGCTCTCCTTTCTCATAATCTCTTTAATATGTTTTTTGGTCGCGTTGAAAATTTCAACAAAATGTAATGATTCAAAAGAGGTGATGGAAAAGAGTTAAAAATCTCGTCGCCGACTGTCATCTCATTCTGTGTCCTCTGCTGCATCTTTATCAATCAGTCATCCTGATCAACATCTCGTGGCCAGATACTCAATGATACCAAACGATAGTACGAATCAATCGAAAACTGCGTTAATTAACGTCGCCACGTTACTCGACGACAATGGTCGAGTGCCACGGGCGACACTTACGATACGTACCGCCCTGACAACTTCGACTCGTCGTCGATGTTTTGGGAACGTTGATTGTTGTGATCACTCGGTCATGTTCAGCGGTGGGGAGACCACACTTGGCTATTGATGGGAGATGACGTAGCCCTTTTTGCCCATTGTTTTGGTATGCTCGTGCGTCGAGTACTTTTCCGTGTCCGCGTCATTATGTATCGAACCGACGAGCAACATACACATATCGCGACGCGGGCTGGGTACGTTCAATTCTTGTCAGTTGATTCAAATATTACGTCAACCTTTGAGACACTTTATCGGTCGACATTGCGTTCATTAACATACGATTATCCGATCGATTCGTATCTACGCGAGTGTCAGTGTCAGTGCTAGTGCGTATCCAGAATATCACGACGGAATAGCTGCAAACGAGGATGCTGGGTCGGGAAGCTAGGACGGAGGATATAGGACATCAAGACCCACTCGTGAGCACATCATGTGTTCTTAGGTGTGTCGAACCGTTCGTTATAACGAATTTTTCCGATTTTGACAGACGTTTGACGAATTTACCGCGAATAAAAGGATACCCGAGTCGAAATTCAGAATCTATTTTAAAGCCGGCACTCATAGTGCGGACCATTATTTAATAAATAACAATTATATCTTCGTAAATCTGATTATTGCTCATCAATCTTATTTATTCTTCTCTTGTGCAACAAGAAATATCAATCTAAACAGCTTATTAACGATCCAATATGCAATTAGTTATCAATTAAATCGATCAAAGATCGCAAAAAATTTGCCACTATAAGTACCGGCATAAGAGTCTCATGAGTGTTGAGGTTTACATCTAATAATAATTTCTGAATAGCTAAAAACCTATCCAGCTTTTTTACTCCTATTATTGCCGTTATAGTGAAGTTGCATTTAAATCCCGTGATGTTTACACAACTGTCTTTATCCTCCCCCCTCACTTCCTCAGGATATCCAAATCCTAATTTCCAAGGAATGAAAAGAAAACACAAAAGATTAGATGAAGGTAAAATGTTTATTGTTTTATTTAGATAATTATTATATTAATTATTTAATATCTGCTTATAGCATATACTCTATCTGCTGTGTGAGTAAGTTACATAATCAGCACACTGTTTTTTTAAATTAACAATAAAGATCAAATGCAAATAGAATATTGAGATAATGAGTTATTAAATACTCTATTAAGTATCTGGAGTCGTCGGACTCCATGAAAAATTTTCATCATTAATATAGAATCAAAATTTCGACTTGGAATAACATTATACTTTTTTAAAGTGAATCAGTGAATAGTCACTATATCAGTTATAAATATAGCACTGAGCACTTTCAGTGCAACACTTATAACTGCAAATCAGTGTATATTCACTGTTTTCAGTGATGTTTCACTGATTCATTTTAAGAGAGTAAGGTTTTTATGAATTAATTAATATTTTAGTATGAAAATCTAACATGAATTTATATTTTAATTAAAAAACTATTGTTTTTTACTGTATTCCATATAAAGGACTTTATCGAAATTTGTTAAGAAATGTGGACAACATTATATGATTGCAATAGTTTCTACTTGTCAAGAGGATTAAAAAGAATATACTTTTACGTCTTTTCCGATCACATCAATTACACGACGCTCCGTCGAATGACATTTTTTATGCGTCACGTCTGATAAATTCGACGTTTCCGATACTTTTTTTTTCTCCTGCAAAGGGAGGACCCTTCAAACGTTAACTAATGCTTGGTCTCCATAACGGGGCGAAATGGAGCAAGAATAAAGCGAATGAGGGAGGAAAGGAGAAAGAAAGAGAGAGAGAGTGCTGCGAATGATAGTAATTTGTTCCACTTCTTTTCCCGGCGAAACAATCCAGTCGGGGACCGCGATAAGAGCCAATAGCTCGGAGGGGAGCAAAACGTATTTGCCATTCCAGAAACCACCCTATGTATTCATCTCCGGCCCTTCGCGTGGGAGCACACGTACGAGTTCGCAAGATTGAAGTCAGAATAAAATACGATGGTAGCAAATAGACCTCGAGTCGCGTACACTCTCGCTCTTTATCTTCGTCTCTCTCTCTCTCTCTCTCTCTCTCTCTCTCTCTCTCTCTCTCTCTCTCTCTCTTCGCGTTTACTTAAATTATGTATGAAGTGTTGTCGGTTGCTGGCGAAGACGTCAGACCTAATTCGATGTTACCGTCGAATTGAATTTTTTTCCTGCAAGTATACGAAGGATATTTTGTGAGCTTCGTTTTTTTTTTATCTAATTCGAAGAATCTCTTCGGGAAAAGATATCTCGCGCATGATCAATGTGTTTTGAGACGATCAAAATTGAACAATTGTTCGGTAGTGTAATGTGATGTGATACAATAAAGACTTAAGTCGAGCGAGTCGTTTGCTCAAGTATTTTGCTTTCGAACGCCGCTCGTCTCAATTATTCACGCGTCGCCTATTTGTTATAAATGAATACGCCTGGTATTATTCCAATCTCATTATGTACACAAATGACTAAAGCACTTAAACCTTTTATTTGTGGAAGCGTGATTTATCGTGTCATGTTTTCGATGTTATCTCCCGGAGGCAGACGTAACGCCCCACGATCGAAAATTAGGGAAG